AAATAAAAAGATGAAAGGGGGAAATACCAAAAACAGTGTCATAATTGCATTTGTATTTTATAATCTTTTAAACTGGAAAGCAGGCAGGATTAGCTGACAGAGGAAAACCCTGCATTAGTCTCCTGGATGCTGCTATCAGCCCAGGTATTCACACTTGTGTGTGAGTTGAGGGCACATGGAGATGGAGACACCTCAGACAACTCAGCTGGGTACTGCCTCGCTGAATCTAGACCCCGAGTTCCAGCACACCCTCCACTTTGGGCCAGTCAGCAAATACAAGTTATGATTGTTTTTCTGTTTTACTTAACTTTGCTAGAAGCAGTAGGTGAGAGGCTGAAAGTTAGAGATAGGACTGCTGCATCTCCAGTAGTTACTGTCCTGCAACTAAAAGGCATTGCCATGGGGAGAAAGATCTGAGCACTGCATCATAGTGGCTTTTTTATTTTTGTTTTTACTTTATTGCAATGTGTTTTTTTTGTTTGTTTGTTTTTGTTTTTCTTCCTGGTCCCTTCCACTCCTGGTATGAATGAGACCATCTGGAAGGGATCAGAACGAGCAGGCGAGTGAGAGAGAGAAATAGAAATTTCACATTTGAAAATTAATTGATGAACTTTTTTTACTGATTGATGATGATTATGTATTGATGAAACAAGTATTGATGCCACATTTTACCCCCCCAAAAATGAATCAACATCAGTAATTTTGACTAGAGACTGGTGATTATTCAGAACGTAGAGTTAGATCTTTGAAAAACATCTAGAAGGACTATTGCTTGCAAAGGATAGTGAGGTTAAGGTACTGTGCGCTAGGTTAATTCCTGGTTTTGCTGGTTGTGAAAAACATTTGAGGAGGACAGTGTCAAAGATTTCTTATTAAGCCAGTCAAACTAGAGAATTCAAAGGGACGGCATTATTCTAAATCATACGACATACTGTGGAAGACAATGCTACATCTGGAGTTAAACAGAAATATTCCAGATGTGAGAATGTGAGAAAATGGAAAAGACATAGATAAGATAGTGTTTGATCTTGCATATCTGTCAACAAAAATGAGTGACTTGGACACAGCTGATATTCTGAAAAATACTTAAAATTTATTTTAGATAATGTTGACTCTAGGAACAAGGTACATGGAAAAAGTAATGTATGACAGAATGGGCAGCAGAACAGGCAGATGTACTGAAATACACTGCTGAGGGGAGCAGCAGGCGGGTCAGGAGAGGTCTGCCCACGTGGATCTCCTCCGGGCAGGCGTGGGTGGAACTCATGCGGAAGTGGCTTTAACTTCTTAGTGCTGTGCTTTAACCTGCTGCGCCATCAAGGAGGGCCCCAGATTATCACTTTTTAAGCAAAAATACATTCACCCCAAAGCCTTACCTTCCTGAGTGTTAGAAATGAGAAACAATTATTTCAACAAACCATCTCGTTTCTTATAGGATTTTATCAACTCCCACGGGATGAATTACATTTGGCTAGGATTATCCCCCACAGAAAATCCTATAAACAATAAATATTTTGATGAGACAATTATCTCCTCTGACTGGTAAGTCTTTATTTTTTTAAAACAGTATTCTAAGTCTTTATTTTTAGGTAATATTATTTTCTTTTAGAAATTCAAATTTTTCACAATGATCAACTAGTTAGTCCTATATGACATATTTATTTGAAGGCAATTGTATAGATATCAGAATTAAGTCTTTATTCTTGTTGAATTTTTATAGTCAGTTTGAATAAAGATCCTTTGTTAGGGTGCATTTGAGATTGCAGTTAAAACTAGCTTCTATTGAAGTTAAATACTTAAAGAACACTGCCATTAATTTATCTGACAAGCTTACTATTGCAAAAAGGTGCCTAAAATGACCTAATATCTTGACAAGTCATGACCATCTAATAGTAGCCAAAGGGATTATTTCTGTGAATAGTGCTCTTGACTATGAAAATTGTAGAAATCAACAAAATTCACTGAGATTTAAGAGGACTTAAAATTGTGATTGTGCTGGGACTCAAAAATGAAGGAAAAGTTGATTCTTCCTTTGCTACTTGACAATTAATTTTATGTGCAGACTAAGCAATTCTGCACATAAAATATATAGAGAGTGATATGCTTCAGGAGAATACGCAGAATAATGACAAAAACTAGTTTTGAAATTTGTTTTATTAGATACACTTGAAATGGACAGTTTTGAATGAAAAATGTATATAGACTAGATATGCATTTATGATAAAGAGGATAAAATTAATTTAGACCTGGCATATTAAATATCTGATATATAGAAAATATTCTGTT